TAAATTACAAATGAATTTATTAATTTCATTATTGATGCTTTATCGCCACGTTATTTTGGAATGTGCACTGTATATTGCATCTTAAGGGTTTTATTACTATTGTATTTGTAACCGTTCATATATATTATAGCGCAACAAGATCTCTTTACAGCCTGAAATTAAATTATTAACTGTGATTGTGATATCTCAAATTATAGTTACCTTAAATAATGTTATTACTCTCTCTCTTTCTCTCCCGCTTTTTCTCTTTTTCTCCTTTACCTTAATCTCAATATCTCTCTTTCTTTTACTCTTCCTCTAACTCAATTTCTCTTTTTCCCTTCCTCTGTCTTAATTTCTCTCTTTCTCTTCGTATATCTTAATTTCTCTCTCTCCTCTCTTCTTATTTCTCTGTTATTATATCTCTTTCTCCTTATTTCTCTCTGTACATCTCTCTATTTTTGTCTCTCTCTTTCTCTTTAAATTCAATAATAAACAATAATAAATAAATTAATAAAATATTCATATTGAATAATTATAGAAACATTACATAGTCGTTATTCCGTTAGTCGTTATTAGCTTTTTTTATAATTAAAAATGTTGTACTTTAACTTAACACTTAAAATAATCAGTGAGATATTACGCAGCATTTTCTCCTATTAGGTATCATTTGGTAACCGCCCTTTATATTTCAAAAGTAATGTAAAAACTCTTCAATCATCTTACACTTACCTTAGCAGTCATCACTTATCATATGAGGGTCGCTATTTATATTTTCAGCCTTGGCAACACCGATTGTTGTCAGGTGTCATCTGATGTTTCCATATGAAAGTTTGACATTATTAAACATAACCCACTTTAGACTTTTTATCAAAATAGCGTTATTTGTGTTATTTAGAGTAAATGGTAAATTGAGTGTTCAAAAAAAATAGAATTAACGCAAGATCATTTTTGTGAGATGATTCATTAAGACTTTCGGCGTGGATGATCAAGACAAGGTGCATCGATCAACTTACTTCGACATTTGGTGATGCAGTTCCATTTTTTGTCACTGTGATACGCTGGTACAATGATTTAAATCGTGGACGCAGTTAGCTTACTGACGAAACTTGTGAAAGTCGTCCAAATCAGTTGTTGTGCCAGAAAATATTGATGCTGTGCAAAAGCTAATAATGCAAGATTATCTGAGAGATTGAGGGAGACCTAAGCATTAGTTCTACCAGCATATATAAAATGTTGCACGATCATTTAGCGGTGAGAAAGGTTTATTTTCGTGGATTCCCTATTCAAAGATTTGACAAAATCTCAAAAAGATGCTCGTGTTGATTGGTCCACACAAATACTGATGAAGTACAATACCGGTGCTTCAAAATATGTATATAAGATGGTAACAGGTGACGAATTATGGATATATGCGTATGAGCCGGAACGTATATAGCAGTCGATTATGTGGGTGTCGAAACAAATGGCCGCTTGTTTTTTCGAGAAAACTGGTCATGTGGCAACTATACAGATACCATTACAGAAACGTAAAATGGTCAATTCCGAATGGTATACAAACATTTATTTACCGGAAGTCTTAAGTGAAATACGGAAAACAAACAAGCGGCGTCTGCGTTGATGATCATTCTCCAATAAGACAATGCGAGTGCTCACACATCTCGTCTAACAACCGACTATTTGAACATTCAAAAAATCGAATTGATGAGTACAGTCCTGATTTGGCACCCAATGACTTCTTCTTGTTCCCGAATATCAAGAATGAATTTGGCGGAAGAAGCCGAAGCCGAAGGTGCGAACAAGATTGGAAAAAACGCTTTGACAAATGATTCGAACGCATACAAAAGTGTATTAATCATAAAAAAGAATACTTCGAGAAAGAATGAAGTCATTTTCAACGACAAGTTAGTATTTTTCATTATTAGGCTCAACATATATATACCGATGCTACCACTAAAACTATCTTTCAACTACTTTAGCAGTTGCCGCTTATTCATATAATATAATTACATATATAGCATAAAATTTGTTCCTAAATTTTAAGATTTGTTATGAGATGTCTTCGACATGCATTAAATACGTAATATTGTATAAATCTGGTTTTATCAGTAGCCTTGATCAGATCGGCTTTTTCTTTTATCAAAATCATTGCATGTACAAACTAAGCTGCTCGAAAGCAAACGCGTATTAAGAAACCGTAAACGTGATATTGTTTTTTATATTTCTTTTTGTTTTGACAAAATATAAATTTAATACAATTTAAACAATCCAATCGAAACGAAATCGAATGCTTGCACTCTTAGATCGTAACACCGATCTTTCAGTGTCACTAAGCAACACACAGATCAAATGTTAAAATTAGAGCAAAATTTATGAATGGGTACATAATGCTAGTAGGTTCGATCAGTTTGGCTGCAGATTGCACAGAAACACACTTGAAATGAAAACGAAAACTTGTTTCTTTTTCTGAAAGTACATTAAGTATACTTCATACTATTGAATAAAAGCTGCAAATATATTATTAGAAAATGAATTATAAATTTACTTAATTAAAAGATCTAAGTAAGAGTATGTTACTCATTCCTCAATACAAACGTTTACTTAACAGAAATGACAATTTGGATCACCCAAATGGTCATAGTAAGTCAAGTCGATAGTTGCTCTACGTAGGAGTTTTTGAATCATCAATGCCAATGTGTAAAGCGAAAAATGTTTGGAACGTATTCTAAAGCCAACTACAATAGGCGACCAAATATTTCTGTGTGGTGGATATTCAAAAATGAGCTTAAAGCCTTACAAGTTTCAAAAGACACAAGATCTTACACCAAAGCAACAAAAAGTTAGACTTGAAAGAGCAGAGAAGTTGTTACGAATTTTTAAACATTGTGTTTTCTAATGATAAATTTTTCCAATTAAGTAGTTCATAAATTCTGCCGAAAATTTAAGACGACGAATTGCCACACGTAGTAATTTTCCATCTCAAGTATTGGTATAGGCAGCTGTAACCGCCAATGGATGCTCTCCAATTATTTTTATCGAGCCTGGTATCAAAGCCAATATCATTTATAATCGGGAAAATGTTTTTGAAGTTGCTTAAGAGCTGTGGTCACGCAAACATTTCGGTTGTAGACCATGGACGTTCCAACAAGACTCGACACCATCACATAAAGCTCGTGTGAACCACGAGCTTGAATATTTTAAAATATTGTCTAAACAATGGCTTTCGAATAGCGATAGACTATTCCATATAACATTATGGATGCGTTGAAGAAAGCTATTGGTCAGGACTGGATCAAATTACTGGAAGATCACATTCATGAAGCAGGCAACTCATTTTTTGACCGTTTGAAGGCCACAGTTAGGGCTAGAGTGAGTGTATTCTAAAATTTTATATTATATTTGTACTATTTCTATACGTTTTTGTGATTTGAATCAATAAAAAATAATATCAAACAAAAAAGATATGCTCGCTTGAATAGGTAGCACTTCAATCGCCTAACCCTAACAAAATCGTGCCTATGTATATATTTTCTTTAAGAATTTAAATAGTAAATAATTTTTTTATTATAATTATTTGAATAAAGGGTGGTATTAAAGTATCGGTTAAGTTGAAACTAAAATTCTTCTGATTTGTTTTTTGAATTATATAAATATTATTAAGGACTGAATATTTGCTTTAACCAATTGGTTCTTACTAAACTATTTTATAAGGTAAATACACATCACATATAATGTAGGGTGAATAGGCTATAATTAGTTTGTTAATATAGTTATAATGCAGTAAAGATAAAACCGATTATGTTCGTTTGATACAAATTAGTGTGTCACTCTTTGAGTTAATTAAAAAAAATTTTAAATAAATTTTTTGGGAATATACTTATACTGTTTATTATAACAATCGTAATGAGTTGATATACGTTAACTCCCATTGAATTGAAACTAAGTTGTTTTCATTGCTCAAAGAATATCTATTTAAAATTTATTTTAGACTTGTAAATATTTAATATTTTTGTTAAATTTTATGTTGATTCGTTCAGATCTATTGTGTATAAGTAAATAAAATATTTATTATTTATACTCGCCTGCCTCAATTTTTGAATAACGAATATTATACATCATTATCAAGGGATGGTTCTCCAGGTTAAATTAAAGCTATCAGTTAAAGATTTTGATTAACGTCTTGTGTTGTTGTTAGGAAACTATACTAATGACTTATATCACTATCAAAAACTAAATAAATCGTGTTTAGAGTTTTATATGGCTAACATATAAACTTAAAGTTATATATCAAAATATTAATGATTTCCTTTACCTTTATGTTATTCGGTTACTTATATTATCATAGTATAGATGAAAACTTTATCCTATCATTTCTAAAAATGGTTTCCTTTATCTGGTTGCATATATAATCAAACATTATATAGAACCATCCTATGATTAAAAATAAATTAAATTAAGTATCTTCTGCATCAAGTTGTTTCTTTTATATAAAATAATAAAAAAGATAATAAATGCTATATTAGTATAAAAATATTACAAATCCAAAAACTATTTATTTATATATTTTAATTAATATTTTACTAATCAAAATTAAACTGTTTACTTTACTTTCGACGGCGGGTTCACACACATTTCAAGTTATTCTCTTCTCAATTCTGTTGTTCATATATACTTTTCTACCTGAACCACATCGAGAACGCGGATGCATCTATCAAAATAACTTGACTATAAATTTGACATTGGAACAATACTCCAATACAAAAATATTGTTTTCGATTTTGGTATATAGTGCATCTTGTGTGTTTTATGATTTTAGGAGGAATGACTGTATAGGTATACTCTATGTACACATTTTGAATGATATTTTGTAATGATTCTTATTTATAACTCTGTTCATTTACTCATATATTTTTTTTACTGTCAAATATCTTAGAAGAGGTTCAGCTTTTATTTCCTTTTATATTCTTAATATATTATTATATATTTGTTACTTATTTCGTATTTTTTTTTTTACTTTACAGAAGCGGGTAAAATATGTAAGTACTATTATTAAAAATGAGATTCTTTTAGTTTTTAGAAAGAAAAGACTTATATCGTTGTATACCAACGGTTACAGTCTCCAAAATTTCTAGAACTTTTAATACAATAACTGCTATTATAAAAAATAAAAATTTGATCTTTTTTTTGTTAATAATTATGTTGTACAATATATATTGCAAGTTATGGAGAAAGTTCTAGAAATTCTTAAAAAATTTATTAATTCTTAAATATCACATTCATTTATTTTTATCTATTTATTCATTTTCTAACATATGTTTTGCTGTCCAAATGCATGCTACTAAATCCTTGTTTATTTTATTCCACGTCTCTCTAATCAACATTTCAAATATAATTTTTGTTCACATAGGACTTGAGAAAAGTAATGGTTTGAGTATTTATCAATGATAAACAATGATAGTATAATTTCAGATTTTACTCTGAACTTTTACTCTGAAAGTGATATTCTCAGTTTTAGTTTAGGAAACAGAAAGAAAGTCAACTACACTAAAATTCTTGAATACAGTATTTCCTGTTTTCATTAAGGAAACTTATTGTATAAAGAGTCGGTGGAAATAACTTATTATAAAAATAATATGATTTAATTGGCTTGTTATAAAGTAAAAAGAAAGATCGCATACATTTCCTATTTCACAATACAAATTTTCTTAGTTCAAGTTATTTAATTCAACAATTTTCCAACTTCTAGGAGGAAACCTTCAAAATCAGTTTTTTTTGTCACCAACTACTTTCTCTCGACTTGTAAATCTATTCAATTCCAATAGTTTTTATAGGCTTCGGGATATACAATAACAATATACAATGCCCAAAATAATCCAAGCTTGTTAAAAATGCTATTTGTAGCATCCATCATATTCATCGAAAAAACAGATAATGCTTAGTGGAATTTTAAAGGAATTGTCTTTTTTTTTGACTTCTACTGGTCAATGATCAATTCTGAAGTATACTTTCCAAAAAGGTCAAAATTGATTATTAGAAAAGGTATATGTTTAAGTTAATTTGAGACCTCATACAAGTGTGGTAACTCTTCAAACTAACCAAACTTTTACAGCTTGGTCTCTATAAAATTTTTGGACGGTAAAACTTTAGCTTCAATTCAAGAGGTCCAAAATCATCAAATAAGTTTTTTTTTGCCAGCAAGGAACAAATATTTTATAAACCTGGAATTTTGCTATTGCCAGAAAGATAGGCTGGTATAATGGGCTGCCTATTTAAAAAATCTTTAATTCCTTCTTTAACAGAATTCATTATTCTTACCGATCATAATAATCGAACCGCTCTAAAGTGGGCAGTTTTAAGAAATTGATAATGAATTGCAATTTTTATAAAAAATTATTTTATCTTTATAATTTATTTTTAAGTTACTTACAATAATTGGTTTTTTTAAGGGTTAGTAACGTTTAGAAAAGGAGCTACAAATTCAAGAACCGTAAATGTTTGGAAAATTGACACCGTTTGTAAGTTTTTTATAAATGTACTTTTTGAAAAACAACACAACGATAAAATAAATAATGTATATATATATAATATACATAGCTTCTAATATACTATAAATATTTATATACGCTGGAATGAGCGTAAGATCCATGGGGCTAATGAAATGTGTTTGCAGATTGGCTGCACTCCCCTGAAATTATTCAAATGCCCAGAAAACTACAAAATATAAATTTTAAACCAATTGGATAATATTTAAAAGACAGTCATCGAGTGTAAACTTTGAGTAAATTTAATATTCACACAATTTTTTTTAATTTGTCCAGTTCCTAAACACGTATTTTTAAACTCTAACTCTAATAATTAAATTTATACTTATCTTCAAGGTAGTGACTATCGCAATTCTGGGTGTTTAAATAATTTCAGAGCTTGGAAATCAAAATATCAACATATTCGTAAATAACTGCCAGCCTTATTGCAAATTAAGTGAATGTTCTGGGTAATTACCTGAAAGAATGGTATTCTACGAGGACTGTTTGACAAGCCGGTGATTATTAAAAAAATGAGTTAAATTTATCTTGTGGTAGTTCCTCTTGAGCTGTATACTTAATACAGCTGAAATGATATTTCAAATGTTTTATTCCTTCTAAAAAATATGATTCTCAAAGGATCTCAGATTATTATATAATCAGAGAGATAACATCCGACAAAAAAAAATTCTGTTGATAGCATCTCAAATTATTCACTATTTAAGCAGTCTTCGAGTATCGCTTAATATTGCCCTGTTATTGTTGTGTCTTTTTCAATGTACTCAATCATACTAAAAATTATTCCTCGTTTATCCCAAGATATACAAACTATAAACATTTTCGCTAAAAAACCTTTATGCACCATTTTCAGTCTACGTTCATCAGCAGTGGACCTCCACTATTTCAACTCCTCTTTCGTCTCATCTCTCATGTCCCTGAAAAACTTTTGGTTAATGATGATATATGTATATACAAACACTACTTTGATGTGATCACACAGGTTCAGTTTTTATTTTTTATGAGTGCACATCCTGCAATTTTTTCACGCGAGATGTTTACTATGATCTAGTATGATCTAGTAATAGATCAACAATACTATCCACATTATATGGAATTGTTACCATGCTGACCTTTCAGCATCTGTATGTGATAGAGAGTCTTCCTATTGCTCGTAAAGCCTTCTTTTTCTTTTAAAACCGTTTTTTTTTTTTGTAAAGTCGTGCTTAAATCAAAATCGCTATCCGTTTCAATTTTATAACTTACCTTCAACTTTAACTTATGCCTGTCAACCGGATTTCAAAATTCTCATTACATTTATTAGACTGAAAAAAATATAAAAATATTTTAAATCTTATTTAGTGCAGTTATCACCGACTTTTGAAACAGCCCTCGTATGTATATATTAGACCATTACCATTACTTGTTGTCCAAAAATCCTACTGTTCCAGTAATCATTAAAATCCCTATAAATTAAAATTGTACTCTTCATTTCATTTTTGTTTTTTTTTTATTTTTTTTTTTATTTTTTTTTTTTAATAATTTTAAAAAGTACATATCACACATTATCATTTAAATTAATATTATAAATGTATATTGTCTGATCAAAAATTATTTAATATAAATAACTTATGTATGTTTAAATTTACTTTCAAAACCACTTGGCTTCAGTAAAATGTGCGTTTAAAGAAAGTGAAGCAAAAGAGGGCATCATTCTCACAATAATGGAGTTTATGCTTGGTGACAATCCTAAATCTTTTTTAGAAAAACTGCACAAAGAAGGAAACACGGCCTCAGTGTGCGGTCGTGTTTTTAAAAATGGTGAACCAACGTACACCTGTCGCGAATGTGGCATGGATCCGACATGTGTACTGTGTGTTGGTTGTTTTAAACAATCAGAACATCGTTTTCATAAATATAAAATGTCCACATCTGGCGGTGGAGGTTGCTGCGATTGCGGTGATGAGGAAGCATGGAAGAAGGATTACTATTGTGCGGAACATTTGGTAAAATAGGCATATAAATAATATTCATAATCATATTTTCAATAAAAGTTTTTTATATCTTTTGTTATTCATATAGCGTGGCAAAGAGAACCCTAAGAAGACTACTCTTATCACAGATGCCATAATGGAACGTTGTGAAATAGCTTTCAGTGCAATTCTTTCTTATTGTATTACGTTTCTTGAAATTGAACCGAATGCTAGTTTAAAATGTCTTGATAGTGATGGAGATCCAGATGATAACTATTGTACATTATTGTATAACGATGAATCTCATACCTTTGATCAAGTAATACAGACCCTAACAAAGTACGCCAATTTCCCTGATAAAGAATCTAAAGAAATTGTGGGAAGTATAGATCGTGAGGGACGCGCTGTCATAAAATGTGATACATTTTTTGAGTGTTGTCAACTCAGAGAAGCTGTTGAAAGACAGTCAGCTGCGATGGGTGCTGCAATTGCGAATAGTCAACATCCACTTCGAGTGACAGTTTTGCATGTGTACTCGATGGCTTGTCAACAATTTGCTTTACAGCTTTTATCATGGTTACAGGACCTGTTAGGGCGTTGTAGCTTATTTCGGCAAGTTTTTGCGAAATTACTAATGGACAAAAAAGCTCCATACAGTATACTACATATATTTGAGTACGATGTAAAACTTTGGAAACAAGCACGAACTGCTTGGCATCGATTACTAATTTCAGGAATGTTAATGGAATATGATAATAAGTTGGCCTTAGCAAGAGAATTCTCCAAACATTATGCAACTGTTATGCAAGATTTTATACGTGACGATCATGACCATTCATATTCTATTGTATCACTTAGCGTACAACTGTTTACAGTACCTAGTATAGCTCATTATTTGATTGCCGATGAAGGGATTTTTTATAAATTGTTGCACACATTCTACCATGAGGCTATCGCAAAATTCATACAAAATAAAACGGTTCATTTTGATAAAAGCACAAGTAATGGTGTCTCCTTTAAGCGCTCAGCATTTATCCTATATGATCTAAGATATATATTAAGCTTCCCTCCTGATAGTTGGACGCCTGATTTACGAAATGGTTTTATAGAAGGTATGTATATAACAAATAATTTTTACTGTTATAATATCGAGTTATTAATAAAATATAACTACATAGGCTGCAGAGCTTTGCTGCGTATACTTAATGTTATGCAGGGTATGGAGCATATGGTTCGTCAGACTGGACAACATATGGACTATGAGCCAGAGTGGGAAAGTGCATTCAATTTACATATAAAACTTGCCAATGCAATAACAATGGTGGTTGAATGGTCTGCTACGGACAAAGAAGTTCTGGAGAAGTTTTATTTAATGATAATGCAAAACCTGGTTTCAAATGGTTTTATAGTTAATTCAGTTAAACAAGAAGAAAAATCTGTTGCTGGCCATGTTGCCAAATGCTTAATGTACGATGTTGGCTCAAAACCAGTCTCTATACATTTGCCACTGTCACGAATTTTCGCAGGAATCTACTTGCGTTTAGGAGCTCATGGATTAACTTATGACGCCCTAAGTGTAGTTAAACGAACACCAGAAGAATTAATGGAACCAATACTATGTGCACAAGTGATGATTGCACAAGTGAGTCAATAAAATAAAATATAATGTAACATTATTAAAATCGTTATTATCAACTTTACTGTGTACTGTGTTTTAGGTAAATTCTGGTATGTGGCGGCGCAATGGCTATTCATTGCTGCATCAGCTATATTTTTATCGCAATGTTCGATGCCGTTTAGAAATGTTGGATCGTGATATACAAGGACTGCAAATCGGAGCATCTCTTATTGAAAGCAACGTGTTTTTAATTCATTTGTTAAATAAGTTTAATTTGATAGATTGGGTGCAAACTACATATGAAACGAATTTGACAAATCCAGTTGAAGACGACTTTATACGTCAGCTGGCAATGATTGATGAATTCCTTGAACTGTTGATAGTTATAATTGGGGAACGATATATACCGGGTATTAGCAATATCACTGAGGAGGATCGTACCAAAAAAGAAATGATTCAGTTGCTTTGTATTAAACCATTATCACATTCGGAACTCAACCGGGCTGTACCTGAGTCTAATAATGATACAGCATTAGAAGATGTAACTCTTCAAGTAGCAGACTTTAAAAAACCTCTTAAAAATGATGCCAAAGGAGTTTTTGAATTGAAATCAGAATATTATAATGACTACAATATGTTTTATTATCATTACACAAAAGAAGATAAATCCAAATCAGAGGAAGTGCAACGCTTGAAGCGAAAAAAAGAAAACGAATTGGTTTGTTGCCCTCCGCCAAAACTACCGAAATTAACAGAAGCCTTTTTGTAAGTAAATAAACTTAAATAATCGAGTAATAATGTTTTACATTTAATATTTAGCACGATTCCAAATCTACTTCAATGCGATGTTATGATGCATATTTTTTCAATCATATTGGATCGAGCAATAGATCTGAAAGCGAAATCATTTTTGGAAAATCATTTGCAGAAGGTAAAAAAGTTTATTGTTTATTTCTTACATTATTAAATTAATTTATTCTATCTATGGTTTTAAAAATAGATTTTATTTTTGATTGGTTTTGGATTACAAGAAGAACAATCGGGAAATTATCCGTATCTTACGTTCTTCAACCGTGCAACTGAAAACAATTTTCTACAGAAATTAGAGGAATTATCGCACAGTCAGAGAGTAAGTCTGAATTTGTAAATGCATACCTAATAATAATTAATAAAATTTTAGGTTGAGGCTCATAGAGACTTTATACTTTGGACTATTAAAAAGCTAAAAGAATTTGAAACAAGAGCACGAAGTGAACCTATGCAGAGTGAAGATGATGAGGCAAATATTGGCGAGAAAAAGAGTGAAGCAATTTCCTCCAGTGAACAGGAAAGGATAGAGAAAAAAGAACGTGCACGATTAGCTGCTGAGAAACGTGCAAAAGTATTAGCACAAATTCAAAACGCTCAAAAACTGTTTATGAGTACAAATGCAGAATTGTTCGCTAATACAAGTGCTGTAGCACAGCCAAGTGAGGGAGCAATGGAATGGCAGGATGATAATGAAGGTGCGGTGGCATATAAAACTGTTGCATGTTTGGGCGTAGATCGTCGCCTACAGCAACCTGAAGAATTGGATCATAAATGTATTTTGTGCTTTGAAGATTGCAAAGTCAGTTGTGACGGTACCACGCTTGTTTACTCTGCTTATATACAAAAGTCTAAAGTAATTTAAAGAAACAAATTTTGTATTATAATCATATTTAAAAAAGTTTTTTTTTTTGTATAGATTTTACCACTCGAGAGTCCTAAAAGAAATTTCTCATTATATACAAGTACTTGTGGCCATGTAATGCATGTTGAATGTTGGAAGGAATATTTTTCTAATGAAGAAACTAAAGATCAGCGTCGTCCAAATCGCATTCGACCTGCATTATCAGCGAACGGTCAATTAACTGAGTTCTATTGTCCATATTGTCGTTGCCTGAGTAACACGGTGCTACCTCTTACTGCATCACTTTCAAAATTCTCTACACCAAATATAATACATGCGGGAGATGAAATTTTCCCAATTGACAATTGGATTGAAATGATGAAAAACTACAGCGATGAATTAAATAAACTGTGCCGGGAAGAAGATAGGGATATGTGGATTTACAGCTTACCAACCTGTGCATCATTACTCAAAAACGAAAATGTTAATAACTTTCTCAATATTTTAAATCCTGTTCCGAAACCTCAGGTTGGCGCAGGTTGGACTACTGCAGTGCAATATTATGTAAAAGCGGCACGACAACAATTTGAAAATATATTTGAAGATAATGAAACTGAGAGTTTGTTATTTATTTGGGAATCTTGCAGTTACACTGTGCAAGCTATGGAAATTTTTTTACGTGCCATTAATCAACCACTTAAAAACGAGTTATCCATACGACATAATAGTTGCCTGAACGGAATAATTCGAACGTGTTGTTTTCAATCGGCTAATATAAATACTGCAGATTATAAAAACATTGTATCACCAGTAGCAGAACTTTTGGAAACTGTATTTAAACAAAAGAATGAATCAGTGCTGGAGTGGAACTGTTTCAGTAAGATGGTATCAATGATATTTATGATACCAAATTTACTTTACGCTACCTCAGGTAAGAAAATATAATTATACTAACTGATATAGATAAACAAATCCTTTGTCTGTAATTCTAGAAACAGAGTCTGTTGTACCAAATGGAAGTATGCTAGAGTTTTACATGCTAGAATTATGTTTCTTGGCTAATCTAGTAAAAGCTTTAGTACTTTTCGAAGCCCCAGATGAGGAATGTTACATGGATATTGATGCAGATGATTTAAATGAGATTAAAGATTTGCCGGAAAAAATAGTGGACAATATTACAAGTTTTTATTGTAAATATAATTTGGCAGCACGTCGTCAAGCTCAAGCGAAATGTAACGACGCAAAAGATGATAATGTGACAGATATTTTCGAAGAACAAATCCATCCTGCCAATATTAAATGTGACTCACATATAATTACTGCTCTTTTCGATCATATTAAAATGGAAATGCGCGAATTCTTGCGGTGCAGTTGTATCTTCTTTAAATTTGTAACTGATGTTGATTTTCCAGAAGAATTGGGACAGTGTGACAGTGATACGTTCGATAATATGTGCAAGTACCTGGGTTTGAAAACAAATCTAGAAGTATACTTTGAAAATGAAAGTGCTTATCCAACAATAATTGAAATGTTTGCTTCACACCACGATATATTACGTCTTGATGTAATAACCAACAGGAACCGCCAGGGAAGAGATTTAAAAATTGTACCATGTATCAGGCCTGTACCACATTTAGTAGTTTTACCAGAAGACTATAGCGATTTGATAAATAGTGTATCCGATTTTATTTGTCCAAATAATGAACGGGAAGAAATGAGAACTCCAACAATGTGCTTGATTTGCGGTGAAATTTTGTGTGGTCAATCATATTGTTGCCAACCAAATGGCGTTGGTGCTTGCACACATCACGCTAGCTTTTGCAGCTCTGAAATTGGTATATTTTTACGAATACGAGATTGTCATATTGTTTATTTAGGAAGGAAAAAAGGCTGTTTCATACCACCGCCATATATAGATGAATATGGTGAAGCCGATCAGGGTTTGAGACGAGGCAATCCGTTGCGTCTATGTAAAGAACGTTACAAGCAAATACACTTGAAGTGGTTAGGCCATGGGTTGATAGAAGAAATCGCTCGCCAAATGGACAGTTCGACACAAGTAATAGCGCAATGGGTTCATATGTAGTTTTTTATACTACACATGCAACAATCTCTACACGTAGTTGGTAATAACTACGAATACCAATGTGATTAAAGCTGATTATTAGGCATTTTCCTTACTATCCTTTTTATATAAACTTTTTTTCTATAATTAATTTGTTCGAAAAGCTTACAAATATTTATTTGTGTTTTTTGTTATTAGTCATTTTTTATAAAATGAGATAAAAATTGTTGATATAATTTTAATGTTTGTTTGCAGGAATATTGGTGTAATGGTTGTCTACGTTAAGATTACATTAACATAATTATTTGATCCTCAAGCATCATGTTGAAAAAAAATTGACACATAATCGAACTTATACATTAAGATATTTAGTTATTTTGTTTATATTGTAAAAATTTACTATTATGAATATAATTAACATTAAAGAGTTACATAAATAATAAATGTTTTCCATTTAATTAGAAGTTGGTTTTTATAAATTTTATAAATTTTATAAATTGATTTATTAACAGTTAATACTGTCATGTTTCCAATTATTATCTTAAGTAATATCAACAAGGGCGATTATTTGTATTGTTCAGTTGGTGTTTATTTATGTATTAAGTATATACACATATGGTTCTTAATGTTCTGTCGATATTGTATTTGTATATGTTTTTGCAACAAACGCATAATTCTAAGTTTTTTCTATCACAACTTGTTAGTTATTACTACTCTTAAACTATATTATGAACTAGTAAATAATGCAAGTGATATTATCAGATAGCTTTTTTAATCAAAATCACAGAAAAGTGGACAATACTCAAAAATATTAATTCAGATTTCTTAATTAAATGCTGATTTAACTGCTGTCAAAATAAATAGGCCTTAACGTTATTTATTTAGCATGCTATGCATGTGCTAAATTGCTAAAGTGTTAATTTGCTTAATAAAAACATCGTGACTGCGGGTTTCACACACAAGCATTGATAAAGACAAATAATAATATTTCTGCAAAATCTAATATAAACCAAGTTTAATTAATATAATATAAAGCAACAACAATTGCAATCACAGTCATTAATTGTTGTTGCTTTCAATTCAAAATGATGTGATGTGATGTGAGCTGTCACTGCCAAATTTTCATTTCGCAGTGAAAGCAACAAAATTGCCGTAGCAGTTCATTCTTAAAAGTAACCCCGAATTTTGTGGTGCGGGGTTGCAGAATCGTAACACTCAACTTGCTTTTCACAGAATCGAACGTATTATTTAGCTGTTTGATTAATACTACGTTGACACTCTTAATACAGAATGCTATTAACACATTTTTGTATGGGTTTTGTTTGAAACATGACACCTATTGTAACGTAAACATATTGTAGTATTGAGATATAATAAAGATACTTAAATACAAGAATACGTCTAAAATTGATGTATTCCAAATTTGCTTAAATTTTAATATTTGTGTCAGTTAAAACTGGTTTAAGTTTTAATCGTTTAAAGCAGGTTCTTTACTCAAGTCTTTTATTTTCTGCAAATGATATCAAAAATCCAACAAAGTTACTACTCAACTACTAAATTTATCAGATGCAGAACTGATTAAATTTAAACATCATGAATTTATTTACATAGCTTGTACTGGTATTGAAAGAAATTTGAAAGATTCTGTTCCTGCACTTATAAACAATAAACTCAGTTTCACCTACAATTCATGTATACATATATTGAATTTATTTCGTGTAACAAATCTTTTATGGAACATTAAAAAGACGTTAAAATACATATGCGCAAGATCTGGTTTACATGTTCACGTATTATTCGAGATCTTCTTTTGTTATGTTCGGACGGCAGGAAAATTCGTTATATTAATATATAAAATTTGTTGAACAAGACGTTTCAAACTTAGAAAACCCTTTTTATTTTTCTAAAATGTTGTGAAATATTCTCATTTTCTTCGTTGTAATTGTTTATTTTAAAAATGTTTTTGGTTTCCAAAAACTCTGACTCTGAATATGCTGTTCTTCCATCATCACAATTAATAAGTGTTTTCTTTTACAAATTGGATTCAGAAATAGTACAATATCAAAACTATTGTGAACGGAATGAAGCTGTTTAAGTATAATTTAAAAATTATATTATCTTCATGCAAGACATTCTTATATTCACGGTCACATTAAATTTTCAAATTATTTTCAAAGTTTTTTAAAAAATGGATATTAAGGGAAAAAGAAATTTCGATTTAAATTTGATCACAATGACGAGCCTTTGTGTGCCTCGTCACGTTAATCAAAACAGCTGTCATAAATGTCATAATTTATGCCTTTTAGAAGCAAAATATTACAATTTTATACATTTTTCAAGAAAAAACGCCATTAAGCAACACTGACAAGTTTGTATACCAATAATAATCAAAGTCTTGCATTTTTTGATTTTTAATAAAGACGTATAATTTTGTAAGTATTCTTAACAACTAATATAAGCTAAAATAATAATGCATGGTATTTCACAGTTTCGAGTTTTCGGTTGCTGCGGGTTATATTTTGATAGCGAATTGTAGGTATTTTTAACTAAATAAAAGTAAACCAACTTTTACAATTACGATAAACTGATATAATAATGCATAAACAATTGTATAGCTTCTGCGAATATGGCCGTTCAGTGGAGTAGGGAATTGACTGAAAAACTAATTGCCATCTACCAGCTCCACGAATGCTTGTGGGAGGTAAACCATCCAAAATACCATGACAGAGTGGAACGTGATGAGGCATTTAACACAATGTATGAGTTGTTGAGAGCCGATATAGCTGGGTTAACTGTAGAGGAACTGAAAAGAAAAGTTTTAAGCGTCAGATCTCAGTTCAGTAAAGAGTTACGAATCATAAACTCCAGCAAACGAAGTGTAGTAGGGAATGAAAAAGTCAGAACTCCTAAATTGTGGTGCTTTTACTTGCTTGACTTCCTCCGGTCATCAATCAAAAGTGCAAAAACTAAGTCCAGTGTTAATGAATCTGTAAGTATTGTTTTGTATATTATATATTAAAACTATATAAAAATTACTATCTATGAATACGCTATAAACTCTTTATCTTTTTTTAATAGGACGGGTCGGCTGAAATCAAAGCAAGTGATTGCGAGTCCGATGTGTGTGAATTTGTAAGTTTATTGTTTTATATTATATATAATATATTTACAAATTATATCAATGAATAGAAAGAAAGCAATTAATATGTTATATACTATAAACTTTTCAGGCGGATGAATTTGGAGAACATCGAATTAAGGATGAATTCGTTGAAGATAGTGAATTTACCGATGAATTAACTTCAGTAAGTATATATTTATGTATGTATTTTCATTATTAAAGTCTTGTATATTAATTGGAAATATCATCGCAAATTTGTAGAAGTAACGGGCAGGCAAAAGTTTCATATTGCAAATAGTTACCTATATAAATATTATGTAGTATGAAACATTCTAGAGTTGTGATTCATTATGTTCCATACTTTTTTGAGGTTTATCGCTTTTTGAAATATTCTTAACCTCGATGACAGAATGCCAAATGAACTCTCTGCAACTTACCTGGCTCTTGAAAGTCTTTCTTTCCAAATTGGTTCTTTTATTTAGAAAAAATATTAAATTTTAGAATACATTTAGAAATTAATAAATTTGCTTTTGCTTTACTTTATATAAAACTGTGCTTCATTTCAGGTACCTACTTCTACTTCAGTACCTACTTGTGCTTCAATACCTACCACTTCATCTCAAAAAGGGAAGAAGCGAAAATTTAATATCGACGATGATTCCGACATGATCTTACAAGAGTCAGACAATAAGAGAGAAAGAAAATTTGAATGGCTAGGTGAACAGGTGGTGTCTACGTTAAACAATATGGTAGACCAAGATATCATATTGGAAGCAATTACTAAAATACAGCAAGACATTATGATGTTTGCTAAAAGAGATCTCATGAGACAAAAACAAAAAGTAGCCGTTCAGATGTATAGACGAACACGCTAGTAGGAGTTTTAGATAATTACGATCGTAGAACTATTATTGTACAAATTAGTTTGGTTTTTATATATAATAAGTATGTTTTTTAGTTCTGTATGTATTGTACTAATAAGTTTAGTTTAATTTAGGTTTTATAAATAATTTATTTACAAAATTAAATATTTACCTTTAACTCATATGTTTTGTATATATCATTTTGTATATACTAGTTTTTTTTTAAATAAGTTGTAAGTATTTTAAAAATAATTAACATTATTCCGTTTAAATCAATGAATTATTCCAAAAAGTTTTACATACTCTTGGTATAGAGTACACCAATTTTGAATGGCATTAATCTTGTTTGATACTTCAAACTCTTACAGTTTTCTGCAGTTCCAAAAATCTTACGATTGCAAACCAGTGCTCTTTCAGAAAAATTGTGTTAGGAACGTTTGTATAATTTTTTGTAAATCATTTTCACCAGCTTTAATAGCATTTGAAAACTGTTGAACTATGAATTCTTCTTTTAGGTAATTTATTTTTTTCAGCATTGTCACAAATTTTAAGCAGTCTTCTACGCTCTTCTGATGATTTGCTTAATATTACCTATTTTAAAATTAGATCTATTATTTTTGTGGTATTTACGTTTTTACCTTTTAAAAAAGCGTCAACAAAAAAAATTAGCATGTCTATATTTCCTTTAAAATTTCATTCACACTGGTCTAACGAATATTTTTAAAAACGAAAATATTAAATGCGTTCTTCATGTAAGGTAGTTGTTTCAAAAATATTGGGCAGTCCAGTGTGAGTTAAATTTTAAAAGAAAAAATGTTTTCAAAAATAGAAGTTATTCATGATTTCTATATTTATAAGGCAAAAATAACAGTTATTTGTACGTTTTAAAATAAAGAGCGGAACTTTAAGAGTTATTTCTGCGTGAAAAAATAAATGGCACATGATAATAATTATTTTTGATGAATATAATACAAAGTAAATTTTATTAATAATTTTTGACTTTTATTTATAAGGTGGTTATTATTTTTTGACTGTTTGAATCCCTGAAATTTAGGCCTCACCAAAATGTGTTAAATTAGTGGTTAAAGTACGAAATCCACATTACTAAATATGTCTTTTATGGTCATGACCAAAAAGTGTGTAAAATGGCCGTGACCAACCGTCATATGAAGGTGTGTATTACATTAGACATATGCTTGCTGGAGCGTTACTGAGTTTTAGGTGTTGAATTCTCTTAAAAGTCCGTCAACTAATATAGCTTATTTAATTAATATACGATTTTATATAAATATTATTTTTGATTAATATTTTATATACAAATAATAATATTCCAGTTTAAAAATGTTTAATATAAAACAAAATATAATCTATATACATAAAAGAGAGTCGTGTTAGTTAGACCACTTATAACTCAAGAACGGCTGGACCGATTTTAATTATCTTTGATTTGTCTCCGTTTCGAATAGCAAAATATATTATAAAATATTGGAAAAATACACTAATTTTAACATAAATAATAAATTCTGTTTCAAACTGTTGACAGCTCGACAGTTTGAGTGATACTGATTTTCTTTTCGTATTTTTGTGTGTCATCAATATTTCAAATTTCAAATATAATAAATAAATGCTCATCAAATCATTAAAATATGAGAGTAAGTAAAATCTCCGCTTCGAATAGGAGAATATATTATAAAATATTGGAAAAATCCACTAATTTTAACATAAATAATAAATTTATAAATTCTGTTTCAAACTGTTGACAGTTTAACAGTTTGAGTGATACTGATTTTCTTTTTGTTGTTTTGTGTGCCATCAATATTTCAAATATTTCAAATATAATAAGTTCAAATACAATAAATAAATAATGTCATCAATATATGAGCTGTAAGTATCGAAATTCTAATTTTTTGTTTCATAGAGAAATAAGGAAATTATTTAAAATAATGCAAAAAAGCATATACATTTTACCGTTTGATTTGTTTGTTTTGTGCGAGTGTTTATTATTAATAATACCGCGATCCAGAAAGTCTAATCTTTCTCAACAAAGCCGTAATACAATTAGGCGTCGAAACATTACGCATGCACTCACTGAAGAAAAACGAGGAATCTCACGAGAAAATAACCACATTAGTGTGATCCGACTTCGCGCTTTTCAAACACAAGAGCAAAGAGAGGCAGCCCGTGAAACGGCTCGGTTAGCAATTAGAAATCGTCGAGCTTATCACACAGATCAACAACGAGATAATCTCTGACGCGCAAGAAGAAATTCTTCAACTATTGATTTGTATCGAGCAGCGTTTCTATACGATTGCGCAAATGATTACACTTCGCATCGTTACTTGCGTACATTGTGGAGCATTAAACTTTGCTGAAGAACTACTGAGATTGTGCTGCCTTAATGGCAAAGTGAAATTGTCATTATTGACTCCGCCACCTGAGCCATTGCATACATTGCTTTGTGGTGAAACACCAGAATCCCGACATTTTTTAGCGAACACTCAAACATACAATGGCTGCTTTCAAATGACTTCATTCGGGGCAGACATTTTTGAAGAACATGGATTTAATCCATGGATTTATTTTCTTTAAAAGATTAGATTTAAGATTAAAAATTTGATTAAATGCGGAATATAGGTGAAAAAGTTTTGTTATATTCCTGTATTTGTGTATTTGTTTTGATTATATATTAATATCCTTATGAACTATTGAACATAACAAATTTTTTGTATTCATTTTATTACGTTAATAAATTTCTAAATTCAGTTTACCTATAATTTAATATAACATTCATTGACTGTTACGCGGTACGCAGTTCACCGGGTGAGCTAGTAATAAAATATAAGATAAAATTGAAAATTAATACATTTTGTTCTTATTTATTATTTAATTTAATTATTTAAATTTTAGCAACAAAAAATTCTTAAAATAATCCTATTCGATGATAATAAATGTCGATAACAATTTTGACAACTTGAAATCACTGAGATCTCATCTCTAGAAAATGTAAGTAATTGCATAAAAACAGTCTGAACTTAAATACTTGCCTATATATTCATATCTTTGTTGTTCAGTGCAGTAATTCATAAAATGTTCTCATCGCAACTCCGCACTGCATTTAGCGTTGGCAAAAGTCAATTACGCGCAAATAATGTGCGTCTGATAAGTTCGTCATTAATCCATAACGAAATATTTAAAGTTCAGAGTATTGAGGATTTTGACCAGAAAGTAAAGAAAAGTGATAAACCGGTGATTGTTGATTTTTTTGCAACGTAATACTAATTACACACATATATGTATACATATAAAGATATTTTGTATTCTTTTATTCAATTTTTGAAATAGATGGTGTAATCCATGCAAGATGCTTACTCCTCGAATTGAGTCCATCGTTGGCGAAAAGGCTGGTGCTATAAAACTAGCCAAGGTGGACATAGATGAGCATAGCGAACTAGCTTTGGATTATGATGTAGGGGCAGTGCCTGTGCTAATGGTCATGAAGGTGAGTTATTATTTATTAATAATAATAACAAGTTTATAATATATAAATGATTTCATTGCAGAAAGGCAAAGTAATCAACCGCATGGTTGGCTTGCAAGACACAGACAAGTTGCGTGCATGGATAGATCAGAACGTAACTGATGTTAAGTAAACCAAAAATTATTGTCATTTGTGATACGTTTAAAAGTTCTGTTTACAAACAAAGCCTAAAACATTTAAAATATAATTGTAAAATCTAAACGAACTAGTAATACCAATAAAAAGTTATGTTATGTTGAAATTAAAAACTAAATCTAATTTGTTGTACTTTTTTATTATAAGCTAATGATTGTTTAAAATGAATACCAGCCTGGTGTTCCAGGACGTTTCTTATTTCTTTCTAAGAAGTTCTTGAAACCATTTTTAGATTCGTCCAACGATTTTTCGTCGTTAGCTTTTGTTTCAGCTTTTTTCTCAAATATATCTGGAAATGAAAATTCTGTTTCTCTAGGCTAAAAAAACATAAAAAATGTATTACATTATTAATACCAAACTACGCAAATTTTGTTTAGTTTACCATTGTTACATAAGCATATTTTATGTCGTCATCTTTTGTGATGTGGCCATACACCTGATCACGTTTCGTGGGTCCGAGTTCAATGCGGGTACGTACATCAACAACTGGAATTTTATATATCTTTTCCAGATAGTTTTTCACATCATATTTGGTCATTTCCATAGAAACTGAAAATGTTGCTATGTTTTTGGGCTGCTCCTCAGTTGGCCGAACTAGCTTCATCCAGAAGTTTGGTAAAAAAACTCGCAATTGTGGATTACCACGTTGATAAATTGGATACCAACGTGTAGACATTTTTACTAAGTTTTATGAAATAATATTAATGCTATTTATGCGCAATTACAAATTTTGTTAGAGTGCACAAGATCTTGACATAAATAAAGAATGAACTCGGCGATTAGCTGTCAAAGTCAGCTGTTTCCCATTTTTGTTTACTTGTTTACAAAATCGCCAAACACGTGTGCCGTTGTTAGTGCCGAAAATACATTTTTATTATTGAATTAAATTAATCTAAAATATATTCTAATATGAAAAAGTCTAAAACTGAAAAAAAGAATAAACTAAAAAATTCACATATTAAAAAAAATCTTACACGTAAAGAACTGCGTAAACAAAAGCAGCTGCAAAAGAAGGAAAACAAACGTGTATTTTTCTCCAATAAAAAACAGGATGAAGTTGTTAATTCTAGTCAACACAATACCAATAAAAAGTTTGATAAAGTTAATGTTAAGAAAAATAAAAATGCTAACAATTTAGCAAAACCCATTTCAGTTGAGCAGATGCTCTCGGGTGATGTGTTAGGTGATGATGATGAGTCAATTGAATCTGATTTCGAAGATGAAGAGGTAAATGCACGATTGCCTGTAACTATGGCTGCAAAAAGAAAAGAAGATACTCAACATGTTAATGCAAAAAAGGCAAAAACACATGTTGTGACGAGACCAGATGCCAGTGAAGTACACAAACGGGAAAAACAACGTCAGAAGGATTTGGAAAATGCCTCCAAAAAACAACGTGTCAAACAGTTCTTACTAGAAAATGAAGAAGAGGATAAAGTTATATCTCGTCTGGAAAAGAAATTGAAATTAAATAAAACAAAAGATAAAAATCGTTTAGTTAGAAAAATGTTTAATGATGGCTTGGACTATGCGTTAGAATTTTGTCTCGATGATGATGAAGAAGAACAGAAGTTATTATTAAAGGAGAAACGTAAGCAACAGCAACAACAACAAGCAAATGATTTCAGCGACGAGGATTTGTATGAAAATGAAGAAGAAACTAAAAACGGTGATGACATTAGTAGTGGAGATGACAGTGGTGATGACACCGATGGAAGTGGCAGTGATTCTGAAGGCTTGGAAAATTGTTCTGAAGATATCGATACAAATATTGATGAGAGTGAAAACGAAAAATGTAAGTGGTTCCATAATGGGATTCAAATCAAATTTATATTTTTTTTATTTTAGTACATGAAGATATTTATGGACGCAAAATAGACAAAGACGGAAATGTGGTGAATGATGATACTACATTAAATGAAACAGATACAATGCAGAAATATGTACCACCACATCAACGTGCACTTTTAGCCACAAAAGATAACAATCAAACCGAAATTTTAGAACGGCTACGCAAGAACTGCAAGGGGCAGTTAAATCGTCTTTCTGAAGCTAATTTACATAAAATTGCTGTCGCTATAGAGGATATGTATATGAAAAATTCTCGTTTTAATATGAACAAAACTCTTACGCTGCTACTGAAGGAAATACTTATTTCAAAAACAATAGCAAAGGAACGTATGGTGCAAGAGCATATGGTGCTGTTAGCATATTTGCATGCCCACATTGGAAACGAAATTGGTGCTCATTTTCTACAAATATTCATTGAGGAGTTTGACAAGCTTGTACGAGAGGCAGAAGCAATAAGTCTTGAGGACAAAAGCTTGAATAATTTAGTTTTAGTCCTATCATATATGTACATATTCAAAATTTATGAGCATCGGTTGTTACTTGAGATAGTTGAACGCCTAACTCACAATTTGTGTGAGAAAACTATTGAATGCTTATTACTAATCTTTCAATCTGTTGGTTTTAAGTTACGCAAAGATGATCCTTTGGCTTTTAAGCAAATGCTGCTAAATGTACACAAAAAAATTGCAGAAGCACCACTCGAAATGAAGGAAAATTTGCGTCTTAAATTTATGGTAGACATATTGACTGCAGTTAAAAATAATAACAGCACCAAAATACCACAGTTTGATCCTGAGTTAGCAGAAAATTTACGAAAGCGATTGAAGGCCATGTTACGAAATGATAAATATGTCATTACATTAAATATTACTATAGAGGATTTACTACGTGCGGATCAGGTTGGTAAATGGTGGATAGTAGGGTCCGCGTGGAGTGGTAATATTAATGATTTGGGTGCTGCGACAAAAAATAATAACGACACAAAGAATGATGCAATGTTCTCAGAGAAATTACTTGCATTAGCGAAAAAGCAAAAAATGAATACAGATGAACGTCGTAACTTATTTTGCATAATTATGAGTGCTGAAGATTATGTAGACGCATTCGAAAAGATTCTGCATTTATCATTGAAAGACCAACGTTCTATAGCCTACGTCATCATACATTGCTGTCTTAATGAGAAATTATCGAATCCTTACTACTCCCATTTAGCCTTAAAGTTTTGTAACTACAATCGAAAATATCAATTGGCGTTTCAGTTTGCGAGCTGGGATCGTATAAACGATATCGACTCTTTAACCAAACAACAGATCAAAAATTTAGCAAAATTCTTGCAACATTTAATAATCAACGGTGGTTTGGTACTGTCAGTGTTAAAAGTGGTCGACTTTCTTCAGTTAGATAAACAGAGCTTTTTATTTATGAAAGAAGTTATTGTGGATTTGCTATTGACCACAGATGAGAATCAAGTTTACCAATGTTTCGAACGTGTAGCAAAAAATATAAAATTACGTCAATTTAAAAACAGTTTGCGTTTATTCATGCAACACTTTTTGCTAAACGAGGGTGGAGACAGATTAAAATTAAGCGACGTTGAGCTAGAATTACTTACAAAGCGTGTCGAACATGTTGACAATATATTAGCACTTGTGGACTTATAAATGTTCAATTATCAAAATACATGTAAATAGTACTTTAGTAACTTTTTAAAGATTTAATTATTTTATAAACTATAGTATGTAACAATAAAAGAAACATTTAAAAATTAATGTTGTAGTAAATCTCGTGCGCGCTGATATTTTACTGAATTTAATATAAGCTGCTTTTCTTCCTGAGATATTTCAGTTGCACATTCCTGATCTAATTTGTCAATAACTTCTTCCGCAAGTTTTGTTATTGTTTCCCTTGCAGCTCCCTTTGAACCAGATAAGTATTCTAACGCAATTGGCCAAATATGTGTTGTAATTTTATTTTCATCAAATACAGTTTGCTGTATAGATATCTGCCTCAATTTCTCGAATTTCCATTCCGCTTTTGAAGTTTTCCATTTTTGTAAATATTCTTCATTTTTGCGGACTTCCTTGTCACCCGACTGCTCCTTGTGTACCTTGACACGTTCCAGATGCTTCTGCTTCTTTTTCTGCCTAACAGTGAGTATAGCTTTAACGTTCTCCGGCTTCTTGCTTTCACGTAATTCATCTACAGTCGGTTGATAAGTTTCATCATCAGTTTTATTATATTCATTTTCCGACACCGCAGATGATTCTTCTACAATATCCTTGGATTTCTTTTTGCTTTTGTGTTCCTTTTTAGAGAATTTTTTTATATCTAAAAGAAAGTTATTTGGGCGTGTTTTTATATACTAACTATTCTTTTTTCGAATACCTGTAGAAAGCTCTGTGTTCAAATCTTTGTGTTTATGTTTCTTAACATTTGTATTATTGACGATGTCTTCATTCGTAGGGGATTCATGTTTTCCTGAAACATAAATGCTATTGTAAAAAGTATACTAAATCATGTTTCTAATCATATTACTTTTTTTTGTCTTCAATTTTTCTGTTTCATATTTACGTTTCTTATTTTTTAATTCATTATTAACAACCGTTTCTTTTGCCATACTTAAATGTTTTTGTAATTGTTTTTAACTCTCAATATTCGCAATGTGCTATAAAATGTCAAAAACAAAACAATCGATAAATAACTTAAAATTACTAGAGTTGTCACCACTAATAAAATATGATTTTTGTCCCGTTCTGTATTGAATACATTTCTTATTTATTCTAATATATTAGAAAAACAAGAAAATAAATATTAATGATTTACAAATATTTTGCTGAAAAAGTTTTTAATAGGCACCAAAGTCAGAGCTCGCAGTAATGTTTATTATGTTTTACATATATAAATATAGGACCTTATTTAAAAACAATAATGTCAACTTATATACATATATCCAGCTGTTCTTAATTGTAGATTATCTAAATTCTCATTTTAACATATATAATGAGCACTTCAGTAAGTACATAAAGTACAAGTTTTTTTAAATTCGAAAAATCTTCATTCGTCTATTTTATAATTGAGGCCATAGGTTCCCATTTACCTCACAGTGTGCACGATTGGTCCATTAGTTACTCGTCGCCGAAATGGTGAATTCATTTATAGTTCTAAAGTGGTCAATACCGGCGTTTGTATTAAAGTGTGAACCTCTTTTAACCATTTCGTCTGCTCATAGCTCCTTTTTTCGATGTATTTTACTTTGATACGAGATATTCAATTTCAATCTTTGCTTTAACTGTTTTAGATGTAATTACTTTCATCGCTGTTTAATTATCTACAAAATTCTGATATTCAAAGGTTGAATAGTCTGCCTGCTTTTTTAATCATGTATATCTCAATTTGAAAATGTTTCAAGAATCAAAGAGACAGTATGACAACCTTACCTCGTAATTGTTTTAGAAATTATTTACCCCTGTACATCTCTCTATTTTTATGTCGTTGGTGTAGATAGCCATTTCAAAGATACCTTCGACAAACTCCGACTTCCAGCTTTCTTGGTTGGATAAGGAGAAAGAATATTGGTTTCAAATTGCGAATTACTCTTAGCGTCCCAAATAATCAGTTAACTGGTTGCTAATTACATCTAAACTTTAAAGAAAATCTTAAACATTTCTTCACGTGGGCAAATACCTTTTGCAAAACGAAACGATAAATGTTAAATTTTATTAGAATGATTGAAATCAATTAGAAACCGTTAACAGTTTCAGTATGAAACTTTCAGTATGACTAGGGCTTAACTATCCAGCATAGATAATAATAAGCTTTAATCCAGCAATAAAAAGGTCTGTTTCACGAGCTACTCGTAGTAAAACTCAAGTAAAACAGAAGTAAAGTAAACTGAGAGCTTAATACAAATAAAGTGCCGCACTTTACACAGATTATCATGAAACAGCTTTGTGTAAAGTCTGGTGAGAACACCAGTGCCGCGCAAATAAACAACACAAAAATTTAAATTCAAACCAAAACAGCTGAGGCACATATCACACAAATTTTACTTGAAATATAATGTACGAGTAAAGTCTGTGTAGCATTTTCAATTTTCGTTAGGGATGTTCGCTCTCTCTGATGCTCTCATTTACTCGGAAATTTGCTGGTGGAACGCACTTGTGTATACACAGTGTTACTCAAAGTTACTACGAGTAGCTCTAGGAACAGATCTAAATTCAAACTAAAGCAAATCAAATGTTATCTGATTATAGTGTTTATAGAACTATTCTTTTACTTTTGGCGGTAACAACTAGTTAAGTTAGTCAAAAGAGCTCAGTTATAACAAATTCAAAAATCTTTTTAATTTCGATTTTCACAAAAATAAGTTATTCTCTAGCTATTTATCTCATATCTCGTTTTTGGTGTACTGTTTTGCTATTTGTGTAATGTGCCGGATTGTAAAAGTAATATTAATTTTTTCCTTTACAATATTATAACAAAATATGCGAGACGATTGTATCAAATACAATAATAAAATAATGACGATCCAAAATTAACATTTCTGTCCTTGCACATCTCTGTTGAGTTGTGTGTGTTACTATAGAGCTGTCAAGAAATCGTTATCGATTGTTTTTCAACACATCAACAGGTAAACGTATTTAGCCAATGTAAGCAAAAGTAAAAGTTTTGCGGAAGCCATAGAAAGTTTATTTTATGTTATTGAAAAATTAAATATATTAAGCATTGTTAAAATTTTTTTTTTATTATTTCTTAAAAAAGCGATTTTAAATCTGTTAAAGTTAAGGATATTTTAATAAAGCCAAGCGGCAAAATGAGCCAGCAACCAATTGCGTTCCTAACACGTAAAGAGATTTTCTGTGCATCGCATCGCTTACACAGTCTTCAACTCTCGGACGCGGAAAATTTAGAAATATTTGGTAAATGTAATAATCCCAATGGTCATGGCCATAACTACACAGTAGAAGTAACAATAAAAGGTCCTATTGATATGCGCACCGGTATGGTGATGAATATTACAGAATTAAGTGCTGCAATGAATGCAATAATCTTCAAGCAATTAGACCACAAGAATTTAGATAAAGATTGCGAATACTTTAAAAAAATACCTAGCACTACGGAAAATCTAGCAGTGTTCATATACGATGGTGTTCGTCAACATTTGAAAAAACCGGATCTCTTATACGAAGTTAAAATATATGAAACCGATAAAAACTCTGTGACCTATAGGGGACCAGTAATGTCAGACTGCAATATTCCCAGTAAGCGTGTATCCAAAAATTCTTGTACAAATATATCTTCTGATTCAGATTAATTTGCGACAATGATGATCCATACAATGTGCTGTTTACAGGGACCAATGTAAATTTTTTTTTGATATTGTAATATATTTTTTTTATTAAATGATTATCACTTCCATTGTTATATACATATATATGTTTGCACAATATATTTTATAAAAAATGAAAAATTAGAAAAAAAAATCATAAATTAATAAAAATATATATACATAAAAAAATGAACACATAAATAATAAAAGCATTCCACATGCACTAGCAAATTTAAATTTGATTTGTATTATTTGTGTTTGAAGAATTTCGGCGAAAACTGTTTCTATTAATATATAATATAGAAGTTTAAAAAACGTTTTTAAAAAATTTTATTGTACGGCGAGACTTCTTAATCTAGGACATCCGGATCTACATTTCGGAGCCACTCATCAATTTTGATGACTAAGTGCCTCTGACCATCATCCAAACGGATTCACCACGAACTAAAACAACTTCTTAATCATCTTCTTATAGAGACTTACTAATCTAGAAGGCCGAGTTTATATTCCGGAGCTACCCCCCAAAAGGACTAGACAATCATCACAAACTAAAATAAAAACTTCTTAATCTAAATTTCTTTAGAGTTTCCTATAACTAAAGCAATTACAATTTTTAGCAGTTGTCTAAATGATATGAGTAATGGATTGACGTATTACAAAGAAGTCCATTAAGACTTGTCTATGCAACATTGCCCCAAATTATGTTATTAATACATATGTATGTTGGTACGTCCTTTTATCCACTTACCTTCACAACCGAAAGCATCTGATCTTATCCACTGATCTTAATATTGGTGAAAAAATTTCTAGTGTCAATAACATATTTTAATTGAGGTAAAGGTTAATAGCTGCGTTATGTGAATTTTTATATATTGTAAATAGTTTTTGCATTTGCAAAATAGATTCTTGCTCTATTGTGGTCCTCATTAAAATTTGCCTTTAACTCAAAGGTAAGCAATTGGATAATAATATAATAAAATATAATAATATCATATATTAAAAATAATATGACATAATTACTATAATATATAATATAATATAATTTGCGAATAAAAGTTCCATCAAGTTTAAAAATATATTAACAAATTTTTTAGTGTTAAAACTTTATTATTTTTGCATTTAAAAAGAGTTTAACTGTATATAGCATTATTTTAACGGATTATGCATAAAAAATTCTTTTCTATATTTAATTTTTAAAATCAATCCAATGTAGGATATAAAACTATGAACAATATGAATAACTATTTATTTGTAATGTATATATATATATTATATTATATATTTTATTTTATTATATATTTTATATATATGTATATATTATATATATATATATATATATATATATAACACCTTTATTTTTTAAATAACATTTTTATATCTAAATATATTGTAAATGCTAAATTTTTCTGATATATATTCACGTAGCGTGAATTATTCCACTCCTGTAATCTATTTAAAAGTACATTATTGAACGAATGTTTAATTTTAAAATAATTAAGGTTTGAATGGTTTTTGAAAGTTTTCCAAAAAATACATTCCCATCAAAATAGAACTCCAAACAGATATGTGGCACTACACACTATGAACCAATTGACTAACATCGAAACATTTAACAGACCCAGTGAGATGCTAGCGGGTCCCGCAAAATAATAGAGTAGAGGTGCCGATGACACTAGCTTAAGCTACATACCTTCTAAAAAATAGTTTCACTTAAATTATGTTTGAATTAAAACAATTGATCATTATATATATTTTTACAATTATATAAATTTTATTTTGTCCTGTAACATTGTTTATTGAGAACATTTTTTCGAAATACTTATAAAAAATTGTTTTTGGAAATATGTACATTTAAACGTTAAAATATTTATTAAATTAAGTTATATGTATGTGTTTCTTTATTTGTGTATTTACATGTTCATGTAATATAGACTAGATGCTTTTTGGATTATTTACAATGATTTAAAAAATAACTTAAAATCAATATATATATTATATATCACTATAAAACTTTATTTCTATATTTTATATTTATTAAGTAAATACTAAGTTAGTTTCATTTGAAATGAAAAAACTAAAATGCTTTTTCAATTTAGAATGATTTGGGATTTTGGAAAGAAGTATAATATAATCAGTAAGTTGATAATATTAAAAGTCTATAGGAGAACTTTTAGAGTTTCTGTTAAAAACATAAACCTCTAATCTCTTAATTCTCTCTCCCATAAGTGATTCTTGCTTTGTGCAATATATATTCATTTAGCTTTACATATGCAATGAAGTCACTGCTGATGGCAGTTCTTTGCCGGTAGACCCTTCTTCCTCTTTGCTAAGCTCCATGTCAATAACAAGACAATCATATGGTGGTGGTGGTATATCAAATTTAACAACACTATCATAACTTGGCGGTAAAGAATCTACAATGCGCAATATATCATTCTGTGAATTGATCTAAAAAATTTTAATTACTTAATTATTAAATATTAAAATACAAAATTTTAGAAACTTACATGTTGCACGTTGCGTCCATTAATTGGATTGCCTGCTTCATCTATTGGACCTGTCCAAATACAAACACCCATTCGATGGGTAATATAGCCGCAGATTATTAGGCTTACAACTAACATGCCGACACCCAAAGCAAACACGATCCATCTACTATCTGGATTTTGGCCCATTTCACGCAAATGCTTCTCCAATTGTATTGCACACAAAATAAGTACTGGTACACCAACCATTCCGACAAGCAAGTCAATTATTGGTCTTTGATTGGCCATGACGCGAACTGGGTTAATATTCGTTCTGTTATTGTAACTATTAGTTTGTACTGCAATTGTATGCTGGTTACGTAGTACCATGCTGAAAATAAAAATTTATAAAAGTTTAGTACACAAATTTATCTGTTAGCAGTGTTAATATTATAATCATACTAAATAATTAGTTAAAACAATTGTGCAATTTAAATATTGTATGTTTTTAAAGCAAAAAATCAATACTTTATTGAATAAAACATTAAATGTATTTAATAATTGTTTTCTAATGTCAATGCGCCAAAGCAGCTTGTCTTGGCAACAAATTTGAAATTTCTTAATTACCGAAAGTACAACTTTATTAATTGACACAGAAACTCTTTTAACTGTCAAATTTACTTTTAACTAATTTTAGAGTTACCTTGAATCAAACGCTGTACTCAGTAATAGATCACCGGGTAAACTAATACGCATATTTTGAAGCAGTTAATTGTTTAAATGTTTTCAAATTATTAATAATAATAAGAGTTGGGTTCACTTATTTGTGTAAGTGCAATCCTTTTCGTCGAAAGTTTTTCGCTTTGTTTTGTTCACGTCGTGTGCAATTTTTGTGGATTACCAATACTTTTATGTTGATTAAGAGTTATTTTTGTTTCAAAATCTTTTAAATATATTTTATATAAACGAACAAACCTTTAATTTAATAGTTACAATTGTTTTTGAAAAAGTTGTGAAATTAATAATTTTTTTTTTAAAGTCGTTAAAAAAACTTTAAAACGAAAGCGTCACAAAATGGCGAGTAAGTGTTGCCGTTATTTATTATTTTTAAATATTTAAAAATTAAAACGTATTTTCATTACAACAATTTAGCTATAAAACAAAAAAATATATTTAGGTGATATATGATAAACAATATTTGTTTTTCATTCTGAATTATATCGTTCCTAAAAACGGATATTTTTTAACAGAAAGTAGTCAGTAGATTAACCGTTTAACATATTTAATTTTAATTATGTTTCAGATTTTTTATATTAAATATTATTTAATTATAATTTTGTTTATTATTTTTGAAACTTTTTTTTATATGATTACCGATAATAAGTTTTTGAAAATTATAGTATTTGCTTATAGTATACTACCGTCATATACATATGTGTTAAAAAGTTGCTTTAAAAATGTTGAAGAAGCTTAATAACTTAAGGATAGATTATATCTTTAAGTCTACTTAATTTGTCACGATTAAAGCTTAGTATAGTTTTTAATAAGAATTATTTGTCGACACTACTTCTATCATTACTCTATTTACCTCTATGGCGTTTGGCTGAATAATTTTATTAATGACATAGATTTTAAGTATCTTGTTTAATGTTAAGCTATTTTGATATTCTTTATGGCTTAGAAATTTAGAATCGTAATGTTTTAACTACTAATTATCTTAGTACAATTAAGAGAATAACTTTCTTGCTTTTGAAGATTATACAATATATACATAGAATAAATTTGGTCGAAAGTGTGAAAAGGAGTTTAGTAAGTTTTCGTCGTATAACATAACTATATTAGGACACACAGTTATATGTGACTCAAGTTTAAATATATAAATAGTAAGTTTATTGATAAAATTTTTGATTAGGGTTGTAATATTCCTTATTATAAAGAAGTTAAATCAAATTTAAAATTCTCTTTTACGAAAAGAGAAAGGGAGATAGGCAACTTAAGCTTCATGACCTCAAAAATTGCATGATCGATGATAATAGTGATAGTATAGTTATCAGCGACTTCAGGCCGCCAATTAAAATGCTTTTTTGATAATTCTAATAAATAGTTGTTAGGCAATGTCAACTTATTAAAGTGATTATTAAAGCGAATTTTACAATGGAATTGAGTTAAATAAATATATCAATAAAGTATTAAAAATATGATATCTTCGTTACCTCCTACTATAATTTTTCATATATTTTGATTACTATCTGGTAATGACTATTAATAGAAACTCTTAAAAACTAATTTAGTTATAATGACATCGTCACGTAAATACGAGTAGTATACGATTACGTATAAGAATGCATATGTTTAAATTTATCGCAGTTTTCTTTAACATGTCTTCCATTAATAGAATAATTCGTAAAGTACTTCTAAGTCATAATTCATCACTTTTTTGCTGTGCAAAATGTATAGATAATTGATAGTGTAAGGTCATTAGACAACTGTAACACAAGTAATTGTTACTTCTGTAAACTACATTTGCATTGCGGTGCACAATCGTAGTGTATTATTTGATTTATCTCGTGATTTATATTCTTTATAAGCTTGATAAGAATGTTTAATAATTTGTCATGTGATTGCAGTAATGCAGATTTGAGTTTCACAACAACAACGAGTGAAATCATTTAAATATGCAAATAATCTTGCAAAATTATACACATTTAATTGTTAAGGTCGCTCCATTTATCCCTTATCTCGCCTTATAAATGGGATTAATACTCTGTTGTATATTTAATCAGTGAGTAAATAGCAGTGAAAGAGTAAAAACCGCAAAGATTCAATATAGGGAATTAAAACTCTTGCTAAGCTTAAATTTAATATCTAGAAAGTGTAAATACGCAATCATATCGTAGTGGATACTGGATTGAACTTGCAAGAAATAAGGATCATGATCTTATGCCATACCAACGTTATTAAGTTTATGTAGAGTTTTAACGCAATAACTATCTTTAAATAATAGGTTTCATATATTGAAAAATATTATTTTTTCATGGAAGAGCTACATATCTTAACTAATTAGTATTTATACTTCAAAGTGGTGGACCACCTCGAGTATACTTTAATTCGAAAATGTTCGAAAATATTCGAACCGGTCAAATAGCAATCCATCAAATCTTTATGCTTTATTTGTTTTCGTTCTGTTTTATATAAATATGTATAAAACATATAATATGTTTTCAATAGTTTCTTAGTCCATTTAACTCACTTGAAATTCAAGTAATTCAAGCAATCTTAAGTAAGTTAAGTGGTCTAACGAAGCCAGTGGAAACGTACTATAAAGCCTGATCGACGGTGAAAATTATAACAGACCCTTATGGATTGTATTGCGAATGATAAATAAGTCCTTCCTTTTTTAAAAAAGTAAAATACATGTTTTTTGCTCTATTTGAATGCTGCAAATTTGATCAAGGATCTTGAAATTATTTTAGAGTATTTTGAACTGCAGTTGTACAGATATACAGAAAAAATTTTGTTTATTATTATGCAATTTTTTAATTGTGATGCAATTAATCTTTAATTGAATCATTAAGTCCGCAATGAAACCTTCAATCGATAATTGGATAAAAATTGAAAAATATTGTTACTGGCGCAGTACTATGGGTATTGTGGATAATTTTCCACATTAGGAAAGGACTAAGGTTACTGGCAGTTGACTTTGAGTGTATGACAGAAGGTCATTTAACCTCAGAAGTGCCTCTTTGTAATTATTTTGTTTTGATCTTCTGACGCCATTTGATATTAAAAACTATTCCTTCTGCTCTGCATTCAAAAACCTGAATGCCTTTGCTCGATAAAAGTTAGTTATCTGCAGTTGTCATAGCGCTCTATTTTTTTGGGAGTCGAACTTCCTGTTATTATTTAATTTCATTCTATGTAAGATATTGTATATATTTAAGAGCTTAAAAGATAAGTTGATTTTACACATTTCAGTGAACAATTTTCTAATTAAAAATCATTCATTTTTCTAGTAAATATAAATATTAGAGTGATTATCATTCAAGTTCTATGTATGCATTCATTCAGTGAGAAGAGCATTCAGAATGGAGTTAGAATGGAGGGTTTTTGATGATAACACACAATATTTTTCGTAAGCGTTAGATCATTGGTCAAAGTTCTAACCTATTACTGTCATAACTTATGCATATCAAATAGTCGTAAAATTGTATTGGTCAGTTGATTTGTTTTAGATTGCAATCTAAAACAAAATGTGTACTTTTATTTATTTAAAACTACAGAGTTCATAAAGGATATTTATATTTCATATCTTTATAGTTTTAAATAAACACGGTTAGTTTGTTGAATATTTTGTTTTATTTGCAATCATAATTAAAATCCCAACGTTCGTTGAGTGTTAATTAAAAAAAAAGAAATTAAGAAACTCATGATTGTTTTTATTACTCGTTCTGTAAACTTAAACTAGATAAAATTGACTTTATCCGAGCTGATTTAGTAAGAGTTTAATTGTTTTATTTTGATGAAATGCCTTTAAGACCTTTTAATCGTTGTTGTTTTTTCGACGTTGACGTTTATTAATTTATTATTTCTTGGTATCAAATTTTAATTTTTTTGTAAACACTTAAATATAATATTTAATTAAAGAAATAAGAATACTCGATAATCTCAAGCACTAGTCGAGAAGATCGTGAGATTTTTTCATTTTTTTTCATTTAAACATTTAAAATAGTTGGAAAAGTCAGCAACAGAGATTGAGAGGTTTAGCTTTTTGTCGTAGGAGATCAGCTGTTCTGTGTTTAATTTTTTTATTAACATTGATTTAAAAAAATTTATCACATTTCGTTTATTTGTAAAATTTATTCATAAGTTTTTAATTTGCAATTTTTGCATTTCTTCTTCGTTAACTCGTACTTCGGTCGGAACAGGTGTGTTTATATTATTTTTTTATTTAATTTTTTTTTTGTAAAATTACTAAAAGTAAATTTGTAAAGTCACGTTTCATTGAACGATTCCGGAAGACGTATTGTACCTTTCAAGGCGAATATTTCACGGCAACTAAATGAGCTCAAGAGCTTTAAATAAAAAATTCGAAATGAATGTAAGAAAAAGAATTTTATTTTTGCAGACGTTTCACATTTACTCTCTACTCCGCCAGAAAGTAATATCACTGTAAAATTGTTATAATTGTGATGACTCTGTGACTTTAACCGCATTATTTGGCTCAGATCGTATTTCAATGTTGTGTTTAGCCAGACATAGAGCAAAGTCTCAGGCAGTTAAGAAATACGACTGCAGATACTTTTTTATTTTTTATTTATTTGCTTTTATTTATACTTTCCAGCGCTAGCGGTAAAAAGTCAATTTTCAACTTGACGCAGGTACGAGCCCAGTTAAGAATCAGTAGATGCGCGTATCTTCATTCAACTTGGTATATGAGTTGTATACGAGTATGGAATGAGAATCCGATACTTATATGTGTGTTAGTGATTTATATTATTTAATGTGTAGTTATATGCGCACTCAACTGTTTAGTCAAACAGCCGCGTTGTTACACCTGAGATGATAACAACAATAATGACTTAGTCTATGTATGTGCTAAGCAGCTACACTTAAACTTTGGTTACGGGTGAAATTTAGCTCAAAAGTTCTATATTAAGAAACATCAAAGATAAGATCCGAGTAAATAGGAGAACATTATTTCATATCATGAATTTTAAAATAAAATCCCTAATATTACGCTACTCATTCATACCTATATAGGCACACTTAATATTTACGGATTATTATATTCAGTAAAGAACGTACATAAGTGAAATGGATTGGTTGCAGGTGAAATTTAGTTAGGATAACTATTAATCGGTATAATACTCGTAGATCGAAATCCCTAAAATATGTGATAAAAAGCATTCAATTTTGATTTATCTAGAGAAAAACCAAAAATAAAATAACGTAAATAAA